ACCTTTACATGTGTGAAGATCCCGCCTCCACATTTGGGTCACCTTCTGAGGGGCTAGGACCCCAGCTCCTCTTTTCGGGAGGGACACGACTCAGCTCGGAACAGGGACGCGCACTCAAGTCCTGTAACTGCCATTAGGGATTTGGCCCATTTTACTGAAGGGAAAGTGAGACCTCAGAGGCGACATGACCAGCTCGGCTTTCTGGAACTTGGCACGTGCCAGTCAGGACGGCCACGGGCTCTCTGTCCTTTCTGAGCTTCTGCTTACGGCTCTTGCAATAACCCCGGCGGGAACTGGTTTACACTGAGTGCTGCAGCCCGCCAATCCTGCCCCTGGATAGACTCGCACACAGAGCCCTAAGGAGTTAAGAAGTCGGAGTGTTGCTGCCTCCGGTGTACAGATGGGGAAACCGAGGTTCAGAGAGGCTGAGTCCCTAGCCCATGGTCACACAGCCAGGACACGCAGTCTGGCGTCCCTGCCTCGCCACGTTTCCCCAGGTCCCAGCTGTGCACATCCCCGACTGCCTGGCCCCTCTGCCCGCAGCGCCCTACACCATCATCACCTTCCCCTTCCTCTTCGCCGTGATGTTCGGCGACGTGGGCCACGGGCTGCTCATGTTCCTCTTCGCCCTGGCCATGGTGCTCGCGGAGAACCGGCCAGCCGTGAAGGCGGCGCAGAACGAGGTGAGCGGGGGGCGCGGGCATGGGGGGGGCGGGGAGGGCCAGGGCCACCCCACCCCCTCACGGCGCCCCTCCCCCCCCAGATCTGGCAGACCTTCTTCAGTGGCCGCTACCTGCTGCTGCTCATGGGGCTGTTCTCCGTCTACACCGGCTTCATCTACAACGAGTGCTTCAGCCGCGCCACCACCATCTTCCCCTCGGGCTGGAGCGTGGCGGCCATGGCCACCCAGTCCGGCTGGAGGTGAGGCCCGGCCGCGGCCCCCGCAGCCCCCACGGTCCCCGCGGCCCCCGGCAGCCCCTGACCGCCCGCCCTTGTTGCCACAGCGACGAGTTCCTGGCCGAGCACCCGCTGCTCACCCTGGACCCCGCAGTCAGCGGTGTCTTCCTGGGACCCTACCCCTTCGGCATTGACCCCGTGAGTCCCGGCCACTTGCTGTGGGGGGCGCGCGCAGGTGGGAGGGCCGGGCCGGGGCTCCTGCGCTGACCCTGACCCAACCTTGACCCTGATGCTAACCCTCGCCCTCGCCCTCCTGCTGCATTTGTGAGCCCCTCCCGAGGGCCTGGCCTGGTGCCGGGTGCGGGAGGTGCGGGACTTTACAAGGACGAGGGGCCCACCTTGCAGCAGCCCCTTCAAAGCAGAGAGGAGTGTGTGGCAGCGAGGGCAGCGCTGGCTTGCTCGGAGCCCGCCGGACTGGGCACCGTCATGTGCTGTCCGCACGCCAGCACGTGCTACCGTCCTGGTGACAGTGCTGCGAGGTCCACGTTAGCGCTGCTCCCATTGCACCAATGACGCAGGGGCACGGGAGGTCACATGGGCAGGGGCACCTGGTGGGGGGGAGCTGGGGTTTGTGCCCCTGGTTGCCTGGCCTGTGTGGGCACTCCACCTTTCCCTTCTGCTGCCCTGCTGTGGGCCAGCAGGTGGCAGCTGGTGCCGCGGCCCCCCCCCCCCCCGCCCCGGGGGCAGAGGGGCTGCCAAGAGGGACGTGGGCAGGGAGGCCCCTGCATGACACCCATCCCTCCTGCCACCCCAGGTCTGGAGCCTGGCCGTTAACCACCTGAGCTTCCTCAACTCCTTCAAGATGAAGATGTCCATCATCCTTGGGGTCACCCACATGACCTTTGGGGTGGTTCTGGGAGTCTTCAACCACGTGTGAGGGCCTGGGCTCCCGGGGAGGGTGGGGGCACCAGGCCGGGCACCGGGCCAGGTGGGACCAGGGTCGCCCAGTGGCTGACCTGGTGACACCCCCCCCCGCCAGGCACTTTGGCCAGTGGCACCGGCTGCTCCTGGAGACGCTGCCCGAGCTGATCTTCCTGCTGGGGCTCTTTGGCTACCTCGTCTTCCTGGTCATCTACAAGTGGTTGTGCTGCTCAGCCACCAGCGCTGCCTCAGCCCCCAGCCTCCTCATCCACTTCATCAACATGTTCCTCTTCTCCCACAGCCCCACCAACCAGTCCCTCTTCCCCGGGCAGGTAGGCCGGGGCGGGGGTCCTCGTGGGCACCTCATCTGAGCGGTAGGATCCTCATCTGAGAAGCGGGGATGCAGGCCTGAGGCTGTGAGCTGGGGAGGTCGAGGGATGGTGGGAAGCCCCCCTTGGGAGTGGTGCCCTGGGTGCCGGCCGCTCCTCCCCCAGGATCCCGGCTTCACGAGGGGCCCTGGGGGCGGCGGAGCGGGCTGCAGGCTCTTGGGGCCCCGAGCTGGGCGCGTGGCTCGCAGAGGGCACCCTGACTCGAGCCGCCGCTCCCCCGCCCCCGCAGGAGGTGGTGCAGTCTGCACTGGTGGTCCTGGCCCTGGCCACCGTGCCCGTCCTGCTGCTCGGCACACCCCTGTTCCTGCGCTGGCAGCACCGCCGCTCACTGAGGCCCACTGGCCGCCAGCCGGTAGAGGATCGGGGTGGGGAGGGGGGCATGTGGGGTGATGGGAGGTTCGGCCCCACCCTCGCCGCCTCTCGGCCTCCTGAGGGGCGGGGGGCCTGCTGACGCTGCCTGCCCCCCACCCCCAGGAAGAGGACAAGTCTGGGATTCTGGACTCCTCCGATGCCTCCGTGGCTGGCTGGGGCTCTGATGAGGAGAAAGTGGGGTGCCCGGGGGACAGAGAGGAGGCCGAGGTGGGTGTGGTCTTCCCCGGGTGTGTGTGTGGGGGGGGTGGCTGCCAGCCCGGCTTGGCCCTCACCGCCACCCACCTCCCAGTTTGTGCTGTCCGAGGTGCTCATGCACCAGGCCATCCACACCATCGAGTTCTGCCTGGGCTGCATCTCCAACACAGCCTCCTACCTGCGTCTCTGGGCCCTGAGCTTGGCCCACGCCCGTGAGTGTGCTGGCCCCCGATGGGCGGGCTGGCCATGGGTCAGGTCCTGGCTGCCTCGGACGCTCGAGCTGCTGGCTGGGTGGCCTGGGTGGGTCACTGCTCTGGGCCTCAGCATCCCCTCTGTAAAGTGAGGATGTTGGAGGAGGCCCCTCAACGGCCCCACGGGGGCGGGGGGGAGGTTTTCAGGCTGCCACGGGGGTCAGGTGGGGACCCCCTGGGCCCTGGCCTCCACTGCTGCCCCCCCCCGATCCCCAGAGCTGTCGGAGGTCCTGTGGGCCATGGTGATGCGCGTGGGCCTGCGCATGGGCCATGAGTTGGGCGTTGCGGCCGTGGTGCTGGTCCCCATCTTTGCCGCCTTCGCCGGGTTGACCGTGGCCATCCTGCTGGTGATGGAGGGGCTCTCGGCCTTCCTGCACGCACTGCGGCTGCACTGGTGAGCTGGCCCACCTGGCTGGCCCCGGGCTACACGAGGGTCAGGGGAGCCTGCCCCTCACCAGCTCTCCCCTTGTCACCCCCAGGGTAGAGTTCCAGAACAAGTTCTACTTAGGCAGTGGCTACAAGCTGAGCCCCTTCACCTTCGCGGAGGAGGACTAGCGCCCACCTGTGGCCACGCCCAGGCCCCTGCCCTTACCTACGGAGACAAGAAATAAAGATGGACTAGGAACTCTGTTTTGGTCCTGTCTGCAGTGCCAGGGCCTGAGCCCCGGGCCCGGACTGGTCTCACCCCATGAGACTCGGGTCATGGACTCTGTGCCCGGCTCACATTCCTTACGCTCTCCTGCGCAGCTGAGCTTGTTGTGGGGTGCAGTGGGGTGGGAGGCCCTGGTCTAGGAGCTGGGGCCTTGGGAAGTTGGGGAGAGGCCATATGAGCACATCTGCAGTAATCCCAGAGCCTTGGGCTGAAGGGGGGGGGGGGCAGAACGAGGACCAGGGAGGGATCTTTCCAGCACATTCTAGTTTTGAGCTCCCCATCCCTGGAGATGTGCAAACTGGCTGTAAGGGAATGTTCGGGATACTCTGGGCATGAAGGGTGATGCCCGGCACGATGGTCCAGTATTTCCATGCCCTGGTGCTGGCCCCACGCCAGCCCGGGACGCCAGAGCCTGACCAAGAAGCGGGGACGGACACACACACACACACACACACACACCAGAGCCTGACCAAGAAGCGGGGACGGACACACACACACACACACACACACACACACACACACACACACACACACACACACACACACACACACACACACACACACACACACACACACACCAGAGCCTGACCAAGAAGCGGGGACGGACGGACACACACACACACACACACACACACACACACACACACACACACACACACACACACACACACACACACACACCCTACCCCCACCCCCCACCCCCCACGCCGAGGCCATCCTTCCACTGGTGGGGTGGAGAGGAGCACTGTGCATGTCTTTTCTGGCCTGGATCCCAACACCGGCTGGGGGGTGGTGCCAGTGCTTCTCAGAGGCCTCCCTTTTCTTGGGCTGAGGAGCTGCAAAGTGGCTCTTCCGGCAGGAGGCCCCAGGAACAAAGGCGGCTTTGAGGCCAGAGATGCCCTGGGCATGGCAAGCCGGGTGGCCTGGCTCTATCACTGGGGCTGTCATCTGGCCAGCTGCCGGGGGGGGGGGGGGGGGGGGGGCGGGGGCCGGGGGGGGGGGCGCATCGCTCTGGGGGAGACCTTACAAAGGAGCGCAGTATCATCTATTGCTCAGTTTTATTGCTTGGATCCCAGAACACATTCACCTGGCTAAACTTTTAAATGTCTGGAAGAGTGAATAGTGGAAAATCTCTCTCCTACCTTGACCGTTAAGTTTCCTGCAGCACATCCCATTGCTCCTAGTTTCTTCTATATCCTTCCAGAGGTCTCTGCGGGGGTGGGGGTGGGGTTGGAGAGCTGGGAGGACCCGCCAGGAGCCCTCCATAGGCAAAACCAGGTAACAGGAGCCCTGCCTGAGTTTTAGGACACACCAAGGATGACAGTGAGGGTTTTATGTTTTTATTGTTTGTATAGTACAATCTCCCGTAGCAGAAATGTATGCACAAAAAGCAATTCAAATAAGAGTTCAGAGTAAAAAAAAAAAAAAAAAAAAACTTTATCCCAAAAGACATTTACTATATATAAGGGTTTCACAGCTCTAGTGTATCCATGCCCCCACATTCCACATACAGGCTGCTCTTTCCCACCAGAACCACTCCGTCAGGGACACCGGGGGCAGGGAGGGCAGGGGGAGCCGGCCCAGAGCCCAGGCCAGGCCAGGCCACCCTCTCCCCACTGGGTGCACCAGGGCCCCGGCGGCGGGCGCGGCAGCAGGATGATGCCCAGGGCCACCAGCCCTGTCACAGAATCCACAACCCGGGGCTGAGCAGAGGTGGAGGAGAACAGGCCGTGGAGGGCAGGGCAAAGCCTGCTTTCTGGGGGGGAGGGCAGGCAGGAGGCGAGTGTGTCCGCAGGTGCCTGCCCACCAAGGCTGGGGTTAGTAGGGCACATTCAGTGGAGGAGGAGGGCAGGGCAGAGGCCACAGACAGACGGGGGAGATGCATCTGCGGGACAAAATATGTACAACAGGTCCGGAGGAGCTACATTCATCAAAGGGAGACAACAGCCCACCCCCCCGCACGGGCGTCTGCTGCCTCGAGCATCCGCCGTGTGGACCAGAAGGGTGAGGGAGCAGCTTCCGGGCACTCGCGGTCGGTCAGGCCGCAGAGCAACGTCACAGTCTGTCCCTCCTCACTCGCCGCCCTCAGGAGCCGGCGGCATCTACACACACTGTCACCACCGAAGGCCTGGTCACAGTGTTCCCCAGCACATGAATTCAAGTCCTTGAAAAATCAACATTAACCGAAAAAAAGTACCCGCAGAAACACTGTTTACTCGTGCTGTCTGCCGTATCTGACTGCAAACTTCAGGGCCCACATAGAAAATGCCTTCTCTAGACTCAAAGGATTCTGAGATTGCACTATTGCGCTATTGTACTATGTTTCTGCTTCCCGATCTCATTGCAGAGTCCTAGTGAAATCGTAAACAAGATAGGATATAAATGTTACTCAATTTTAATACAGTCTTTCGTATCATACACATCTGTGTTCGGCAGCGAGCCATCCAAGCCTTGCCGCGGGGACAGCCGTCGGAGCGCGGAGGGCCCTGCTGGCCCGGCCGCCACCACACAGTCGAGGGATGAAGTGGATGGCGCCTCACACACTCACACCCCGAGCTTCCTCTTCTGGTCGAAATAGGCATCGAACCTTGCTTGGGCATAGTCCTAGGAGACACAAGAAAGCAGCCTCACCAAGGACTCCCGCCCAAGGCCGCCCATGTCCCACCCAGGCCCGCGTGCCGGCCACCACCGAGGGCACAGAACAGAGTGGTTCTGGCTGCCGCAGGCCGTCCAGGAGCCCAGACACCTTGCTCAGGCACCTTGGCCAACCCCGCGCAGCAACCCGGGTGGGCTTTCCATCTACGTATCTGGCGCTGCCCTGGTTCACCCTCTTGTTTACCCTGAAGGCTGCAGGCCACGGACTCCCAACGCAGGCTCCTCTCTCAAAGCAGAAGATTCCTGGGGCTGAGTCAGCAAGTGGGAGAGCAAAGGTGCGAGAAAAAAGGTACCCCAATTTTCTGGGATCACCCACAGCAGGATGACTGCACGGGGCATGAGAGGGACGGCAGAAACCCTGGTCCTGAGTCCTGTCCGCCAGCACAACCTCTGAAGCACCCATTCCGAATGGAAAAGTCGCTGCTGCAAACTCACTGTCGGGGTGTGACTTGTGTACCACAAAAATGAACCCCTTCACACACACAGTTGGTTTTCACAAATGCGCCCATCGAGTCCAGCACCGGCACCACAGTCCTGCTGGAGAACATTCTGACACGCTCAAGCTTCCATGGGCCCCGCCCTGACACCTGGCCACAGGCAGCCTCTGAACCGATTTCCATCACCAAGGATTGCCATAGAAAGCTCTTCCATAAATGGAGTCACCCAGTGTGTCCCCTTCCATGTCTGCCTTGTTTCACTCAGCATACGTTCCTGGGATTCCTCCACGCTGTAGTGTGCGTCTGGGGTTCGTTCCTGTTTCCTGTGGAGTAAGTACTTGTCTATTATACGGATCTAACCCACTACAAATATCCATTCACTTGACTGGCAGGCAGGCGGCTTCCAGTTCGGGGCTATTAAACATAAGCTGCGATGAGCGTCTGAGTGCCGGTCGTGGTGTGGAAATAGGCGTTCATTTCTTCGGATCAATACCAAAGTAGGAGGTTGCCGGGCCTTCCGCTACATGTGCTATCAGATCGTTTTCCAGGCTGGTTAGACCTTCTACCTTTCCCCTCAGCAACGCATGCGAGGGCCAGCTGCTCCGAGTGCTTGCTCACACTTGGTACTGTCGCTGGTAGCTTTAGCATCATCAGGGGTGTGTGGGGTATCTCACTGGGGGTTTAATTTGCATTTCGTGTATTACATTAAGCAGACAAAGAGACGTCTACTGGCCATTTCTTTATCTTCTGTGACGTGTCCAAATCTTGTTTATAAAGTAGCTCATTTAGTTTCTTGCTACATTGCAAGCTCTTTATGTATCCTAAATACAAGTCCTTGTCAGACAGAGATCAGCGACATTTTCTCCAAGTCTGTGCTTGCCTTTTTATTTTCTTAATGGTGTCATTCAAAGAGTACAAGTTTTTCACTTTGATTAAGCCCAACTTACCGTATCTCTTCTCTTTTATGGTCAGTGCTTCACGTAACCTAAGAAATCTCTGCTGTGGTCACAAAGCTTTTCTCCCTTTGTTTTCCAGATGCTTTTACACTTGGGTCTGTTACCTGTTTTTAGTTAATGCATGTGTGTGGCAGGAGATCAAGGTTCATTATTTTTCCCATATGGCTACTCAGTTGTTCCTGCATTGGTTTTGAAAATCTGACCCCTTCCCCAGTGAATTACTGTGGCCCTTCTGTTGAGTACCAGTTGACTGTGTGTGTGTTTCTGGGCACTGGGCTCTGCTCCATTTGCCGGACGTCTATCTTTACACCAATACCACACTGTCTTGATACGTCTTGAAATCAGGCAGAATCAATCTTCCAACACTGTTAGCTTTAGTTTCACATTTTAGAAATACCCGTTTCTGCCAAAAAGCCTGTGAGGGTTTTGACTGGGATCACAGACTCTGGAAATCAGTTTGGGGAGAAGAGACTCCTAATACGGAGTCTTCTGAAGCCATAAATGTGGTCTTGCTGTCCATTTGCTTAGCTTCTTGTAGCCATGTTTTAGAGCTTTCAGTGTGAAGATCACGCACATATTTTAAAAATCTCATCCTTAAGTATTTCATGTTTTTATACCATTGTAAATACAACGAAATTTCATTTGGAACAGTTTCTACTACGTAGACTACAGAGGGTTATTGTGCACTGCCCTTGTATCCTGTGACCTCCGTAAACTCACGCCACAGCTCAAATAGCATTTCTGTTGGTTCTTTCCTATTTGCTCAAGTACCTGATCATGTCACCTACAATAAAAAAGGCAGTCTTTCTTCTTCCTTTCCAGTATTTTTGCATTTCCTCTCTTTTCCCAGCCTTACTATGCTGGCTGGGTGCTCTGGTGGGCAGGAGCGCTCCAGCTCTCGCCAGTAATTACAGCACCAGCTATAGGTTTTCATACGTGCCCTGGGCCTGGTTAAGGAAGGACTCCTCTATTCCTACTTTGCTGAGGCTTTTTTTGTTTGTTTGTTTGTTTTAAATCATGATCATGAATGGGTACTGGATTTTGTCAAATGCTTTTCCTGCATTCACTAAGAAGATAATATGGTTTTTCTCCCTCATTCTGTTAATATGCTGAATTACGCTAACTTGTTTGCTTTTTTAAAGATTTTATTTATTTGACAGAGAGAGCACAAGCAGAGGGAGAGAGAGAGAAGCAGGCTCCCTGCTGAGCAAGGAGCCCAATGTGGGACTCGATCCCAGCACCCTGGGATCGTGACCCGGGCCGAAGGCAGCCACTTAACTGACTGAGCCACCCAGGCGTCCCTACACTAACTGGTTTTTAAGTGTTAAATTAACCTTGCATTCCAGAGATAAATGCCACTTGATCATATTCTTGTAGATGTCAGATTTAATTTCTGCTACTATTTTGATAATGTTCTTTCTGTCCTGTTCACAAAGGGCACTGATCTGCAGTTTTCTTGAAATGTCTTTGTCTTCTCTCAGCATCAAGACAATGCTTCATCAAATGAGTCAAGAAATGTCCCCTCCTCCCTTTATTCTCTAAAACTGTGCAGAATCGGTATCATTTCTTCCTTAAATGTTTGATGATATTCACCAGGACCTGCAGTTTTTTCTACAGGGAGCTTTTCTGAGTATGAATTCAATTTATTCAATAACATATGACCACTTGTTAGGTTAGTTTTTGTCATTTGTATCTTTTCCAAGAAATGTGCACATTTCATGCACACTGTCAAATCTGTTGGTGTAAAATTCTTCATAATATTCTCTTACAGCATCCACAGGAGCCGGAGTGATGTCTTCTCCTTGGTACTGATACTGGTCATGTGTGTCTTCTCTCTCTTTCTTGCTCAATATAGCCAAAAGTTTGTAAATTGTATTGAGCTTTTCAAAGAACCAACTTTTGGTTTCATTGATTTTCTCTTTTTTCTCCCATCCATTTTCTATTTCAAGGATTTCTGCTCTTAGCTTTATTTAGTTTTTTTTTCCTTTAAAGTAGACTCCATGCCCAACATGGGGCTTGAACTCACGACCCCGAGATCAAGAGTCGTGTGTTCCACTGACTGAGCCAGCCAGGTGCCCCTCTTTTATCTAGTTCTAGACTTTGGGCTTAGGTTGGTTTTTCTCTCTCTAGCTTCTTAAGGTAGAAGCTTCAGTCACTGATTTAAGAACTTTCTTATCTAATACAAATGTATAACCTTCAAAGCCCCAAGTTTTTAAACCCTGCTTTAACTGTATCCCACAAATTCCGACATATTGTGTTTTCATTATAATTTGTTCAAAATAGTTTCTCATTGTCTAGTTCATTTCTTCTTTGATCCAGGGTTGATTTAGGTGTACTATTTCATTCCCAAATAATTAAGAATTTTCAAGATTTGTTGCTGTTGATTTCCTATCAAATTCCACCATGGTCAGAGAACATACTCTGTATTTCAATTCCTTTCAACTTGAGACCTGTTTCCTAATGCCCAGCATACCGTCTATCTTGACGAATGTGCCATACTCACTGGGCAAGGATGTACATTCGGCAGCTGGGCATTCAGTGACGTCAGGCTGGGTGACAGTGCTGTCCCCTCCTCTGTCCCTCCTGCTGTGCTTCTGGCTCTGCCTCTCTGCTCAATTTTCTCAGGTTCTACTTTATGTCTTTGAAGCAAGATAGGAGGTAGGATGCCGCCTCGCCCTCACCTCTGCCCTACACATTTAGGATTTTTTTTAATGTCTTCTGGATTAACTGATCCTTTTATTATTATGAAATTGTTCCTTACTTTGGTAATATTTTTTGATGTGTACTTTGTCTTAACAATTTCATTTGACCATGGCTCTAAATCTGCTTTAAAATTCCTTATTCCCCCTTCTTTTGCCTAACAGTAGCTGTGCGTTACCAAACCTCCTACCTGGAAGCAGAAATCACCCGAACACAGGACTGGGAGGATGAAATGAACTCGTCATTCCCTCCACCTTCCTAAAGCATGGCACTCACTCCAGACTTTGTGAGCCCCCACCAACACTCATTATGGGGCAGCAGAGGGCTGGACTCCCAGTTTAAAACTATGTCAAGGACAGTTCCTAAGGTTGGAAGAAAATGACAGCCTGGCTTGTCGACCTTGCCTGCAACAAACAGGACGGCTCATTCAGTCAGCACCAGCTGCGCACTCGATGTGGGGGCGCTGTGGGCTGGAGAATGGAGCCACAACCGCAGGAGGAAACGCTTCAGGGCGCTCCTTCACCTGTGGTCCCTTGTGTCAGAGAGGACTGAGGTCAAGGGCTAGACCACTAGGGTCTGACTTCTACATCCCCCACCAGAGCCACAGGGCCAGACAGCACCTCTCTGAAGCAGGGAAGGTGGGCCTGCTGCCCCGCAAGTGAGGCCACCTCCAAAGGCAGATGCGGAGCCAGTCCAAGTGGGCTCACTGTGCAGCGACATAGGTAGCCTTCTGCGAAGAACGGAGATTCCCCACCAAGGAAGAACAAACATGATGAACAGTTTTCTTTCTGGGAATAGAAGAGAAGACCACCCCCAGAACATACCATGTATCCAAATTCAATGGATGAAATCTTGGCCTGCACAATGGACCAAAGTCCCCAGAAGAAATGGGATGCAAGGGCAAACCTGTAATTACAAAAGCAGGAGATGCACGTGAGATGTGTGGCGCCGGCCACAGGCCAGGGGTGGGATTTTCTGCTGGCGGGCCCTGTAACTCCTCGAGGTGCAAACCCGGTCAGCCCTGGCCCACTCAACAGGATTCTATTCCACAGGGACCGGGAACAGGGTGGGGGCACCGCAGCTGGCCTCTCCCACCTCTGGCTGGGGGCAGGTGGGTGTGCAGTGTGGACGCGCCCAGCTACAGTCCCGGGACTCACACGGAGGCCTCGGGGGCCACACAAGGCCGCGCACGGGCTATGCTGGGAAAGAAACACTCTATGCTACACGTGTGAGGCATGGCATCAGCAACCCTTAGCAAGCGTTATGCAGGGAGAGGAGGAACGTGCAGGCCTCTGGATGACTCACTGGCTTTCCCAGGAGGTAGGATGCCGCCTCGCCCTCACCCCTGCCCTCCCAAAGCAGTGAAACAGAGCAGAGGAGAGCGTGGTGGTGGCCCTCTCTAAGCCACACCATGGCCCCCGTCACCGCGAACCCAAGCTCCCCTCACAACAGTGCCTGTGGGCTTCACTGAATGCTTCAGTGTCCTCCTCAAACCCGACTGTTTTCCTTGTGGTCCCTGACCCACTACATGTCCCTTGGGGTACCCTTTCTGTCGGGCTCTCCTCCATTTTTCTATTTCCATCCATTCTAGAACCAGAGAGGGAAGATCTATGTATCAGGGGGAGCCCCGGGACAGCAAGGGTGGCTGCAGGCCCAGCAACAACGGTGTGGACACTTCAGGAAGAGGTGATCTATGGTAAGTGGGCCGGGCAGGACAAGTGGGCCAAAGTCACTTAAACATTTTTACCAAAGAATCTTCTAAGAGAGCTCAAAGAATGGGAGTAACTCAGGTCTCTTGACTACAGAGATGAGTGTGTGTGATAAACAGGGGTCTAGACTTTCACGAAATCTGGAAGTTTCTCAGCCCTGCTTTGAGAGCTACTGAAGAAACAGTTTACAAGCAAGACTCAGAACCAACACTTACAATTTGTAATCAGTTTTTAAAAGAAACACATCACTGGATGGTGCCCACCACTCCATGAGCATCAAGCGGCAAAAGTGTACAGGGCCTAGGCGGCACAGCCTCGTACAGCTGAGTCCTATATGTGGCTTACAGCGTGGAGCGCCATCCACGCGCCCTGACCCTGTACATCGACCCTGCTCTCCACACCTGCTGGGTGCTGAAATCTGGAGAGGTACCACATGCTCAGTTTTTGACAAAATACAAGTCCCAGAAATGTATGGGTATAAAGAAGCTCCTAAAATCATGATTGCAAGTCGGCACCCCAATTATATTCTATAAACGGACGACTATTTTATAAATTAACAACAAAAAAATTACCTATTGACTTCAAGCAACATTTCTTCTTCTATAATGGACTTTTCTTCATTACTGAGGTTTTCAAATTCATTATGGAATGCAGCCAAGTAACTGGAAATAAAGTGGAGCTTTAAAGAAAAATAATCACATTAGAGTCAGTGACGGTGAGACAGACGGTGTCAACAGCTGTCCGGAAGCACGGCACACTCGGAGGACACCCGCACGGCCGGGGGAGCCTGGAGGAAGCTCACCGGTGCGGCAGTGATCTCCGGCTTCCTGGCAGAACCCTACCGCACTCGATGCCGCACTGTCGACAAGACAAGCACAGTAAACCACTACTACTTCTGGACAAAATCACCAAGGAGGAATCTACTCCACACCCATGTTTCCCATGGCCTGGTCGCAAAGCAGGGTAAGCCTACATCACACGTCCCCACACACAGGCTGGCATTCTGCACAGGCGCCTGGGAGCCCGAGGTCGTTGGCAGAGGCTTGGGCAGAGCGGGAGCCGACCAGACCAGGCAAAGGGGCCTTCCACCTCCGAGCTGCTGTGGTGATGCCTTTATGTCCATAAATCGGCAAGATCTAATTCTGGTCTGGAGAAGAGGTTCTACCAGGTCCCACGTGTAGTCTGCCCATGCATCAGGATTTAGGAGACCCCGTTCTTCAGTACCTAACACTATACCTAACGGCACCAGAACACAGCAAACCACCACTCACCTTCTTTTATAAATAAGGAAACAGCAGGCAGTTGCTCTACCCAAAAGAACGCCATTAACTGATCACCTAGTTGGAATGCCAACACCGCCCCTCCACCACCTCGCCCATCTGCCTTCTCCCAGGTGGCTTTCACACTCGGCACCCCCTCCCACCAGAAAGCAGCGTTCCAGTTCGAGCGCCATCCTAGCAGGGCGTTCTAGAAGGAGTAACCCTGGCACAGGTAAGGGGATGGCTCATGCCTAGTAAATTCTATGTAGCGGACACCGTCCTGAGCCTTTGTTTCTTTTTTTTTTTTTTTTAAAGATTTTATTTATTCATTTGAGAGAGAGAATGAGAGATAGCACGAGAGGGAAGAGGGTCAGAGGGAGAAGCAGACTCCCCGCTGAGCAGGGAGCCCGATGCGGGACTCGATCCTGGGACTCCAGGATCGTGACCTGAGCCGAAGGCAGTCGCCCAACCAACTGAGCCACCCAGGCGCCCCTGAGCCTTTGTTTCTGCACACAAGGAAACTGAAGCACAGAGTCAGCAGGTGACAGTGAACAGTGGCAGATCTGGGTTCAAATCCAGACATGGTTTTTAAAACACACGCTTGAACTGCCACACGAGATGAGTTAATTTCTGGGAGATAATAAATGCTTGAATAGGCCAATGAAGACAGAAAATTTGAATAGATCAATACCTAAGAGATAGTAACTAATGACCTTCCCTCCCCAAAAGTTCTAGGCCCACACTTTCTTACAAAGTCTACCAAAATTTTCAAAGAACATCTCATATAAATTTGTTCCAGAAAATTACAAAGGGACACCAAACTCATTAGACTAGCATAATTTTTATTCCAAAACCAGGTATGAATAAACAATTTTTAAATGACCGTTAAAAGCCCGTTTCACATACGTGCACAGACGTCAAACTCCTAAATAAGAGACTAACTGGACCCAGCAGAGCGTTCCAAAATAACACACCTCATTCTCATTCAAATGGTTTATTTTAGGAATTCCAAGACGGTTTAACATTTTAAAACATCTCATTAGTAGACTAAAGAAAGAAAAGCATGAGATTACCTACTAGGTGCAGAAAGGGTAGCTAATGAAGACTAACACCTCTATGTGACTTTTAAAACTGCTCAGAAAATCGAAAAGGAACCTCCTTCATTTCCGTGGCTGTGCGGTGCAGCCAGTCACACAGCTCTGCCCTCCATCGCCACCCACCATGCCGGAACCTGCCTTCTCGCCGGCAGAAAGCCGCCCTCTTCCTGGCTGGAGAGTTGGCACCTCTGGAGCTGCCCAGTTTTTACGAAGTCTTTTACAAAGACTGCTGCTGTGTTCCTTCCCCCGCAACACCCTTCCTCCTCACACAGCATGACCTCGAGGCCCAGAACCAGCCTGGCCGCTCTGCTTGGGACGTACTCAAGCTCGTCAGAGTCAGCCTTCCCGCACGGCAGGAAGAGGGCAATGGGGTTTTGGTCCCACAGCAAGTCAACATTTGAATGGGGGCCCCTGGCGTGTGGGCCATCTGCTGAAGACACAATCACCGTGCCTGGCACAGGTGAGTGCCCAAGAGACCTCTCCTGAGGGAAATACAGCAGCAACCGACCGCATCCCCATCCTCATGCTGCCCTGACCGCTCTGAAAAGCGGCTGAGCCAGCAGGGCTCCATGGAAATGGCTGTCCCGTAGCAGGGGTTGTGAAGGGGGGTGGGCTGCTGCCCTGCACAGGCTCGGGGGACCCTCTCCCCAGCCCGGCGTGCTTCCACATCGCTACCCACTCACCCTCAACCCACGGCTCCAACGGTGGGCTGAGGGATGGAGTAGGGGCTCCCAAGGAGGAATTCCCCACAGGGTGATTCTTTTTTTTTTTTTTTTTTTTTTATTTATTTGAGAGAGAGCACAGGCAGGGTGAGGAGCAGCAGCAGGAGAGGGAGAAGCAGGCTCCCCGCTAAGCAGGGAGCCCGACGCGGGGCTCAATCCCAGGACACCCAGGGGGTGATTCTTCACACAGCCGCCCCCTCCCCCCTCAGGACAGGAAAGGGAACTGTAATAGCACAGCAGCTACCAAGTCACGGTGCCCAAAGGCTACTTCTGTCTGCACAGAGTGAAACACACACAGGGAACACCATGATCCCCACAAAGAAGGCCAGGAGGCAGGTCAGAGGCTGGACTTTTTGGAAAAAACTAGAAGGAGCTACAAAAGAGACTGTGTTCTCTAACTGAATGAATACAGGTTATCTCTGGCACGGGGATTAAAATGTCAGGTTTGTGTCCTGACACAAAATGACATTTTAGAGCAAAAGGGTTTGCTTAACCATTCTGCGATTTGAAAAGGGTGTCGTTAGGGGCGCCTGGGTGGCTGAGTCGGTTAAGCATCTGCCTTCGGCTCAGGTCATGATCTCAGGGCTCTGGAATCGAGCCCCACGTCAGGCTCCCTGCTCAGCGGAGAGCCTGCTTCTCCCTCTCTCCACTGCTTGTGCTCTCTCTTGCAATCTCTCTCTCTCAAATAAAATCTTTAAAAATAAAAGGGGGGGCGTGTCCTTAAAAACGAAGATGCAATCAATTCTAACTGCATAAAATGGACTCCTGCAGTTTAGCTACTATCAAGTCTACACACAGCCGTCTCCTACCTGTTGTTTCTTGGTGGGGTACTTCAGGATGTTCGCTCTGAAGAAAGGGTACTTTGCATAGTTATAGTCGTACATCCATTCACAGAAATGATTCCCAATGTCGAATCCCCTGAAAAAGAGGTAAGAGCTGCAGAGAAGGGGGCAAGCTGCCACACCCTGAGGTTCCCTGGTCAGAGAAGGGAAAAGGCCGAGTCATGAGCATCCCTCCCAGCAACAACTGTCCTTCCTGAGGTCCCCCCCAAGGACGACTGCCTCAGGGACAGGAAGAGCCAACAGGGCAGTTACCAGAACCAGAACTGACTGATGCTACAAAAAGCGCCACCCGACCCACCACACAGGGGCAGTTGTTCAAGAACATTCTCTTGCACTCAGTACTCTGATCTCTGAAGTCAGCAAAACACCAAATTCTGAGTTCTGATCACTCACACTGCTGCCCCCCCAACCACCAGCGAGGAACAGGCCCGGGCTGCTTCCTGCATGGCTGCAGGCTGCTGGGACAGTACGCTAGCTCCCAGGGTCCCGTGGCATGGCTCCTCAATTCCTCCTGTAGCTGTTTCATACCTGTAATTATAACTGCTGTATTCGAAGTCAATGAGCATCAGTCTCTGCTTTTCGGAATTCTCTCTGCCCTCCAGCATTAAGATATTACCTGCAAAAAGGTTTAGATGACATGCCATTTACTATGGCTGTGTTGCATAGTCGAAGGCACAAGTCCTTGAACAGAAGGGCCAAGAGTGGTTCTGATCCTGTCAGGGAACCCCAACCATGCAGTGAATGAGCACAGGCCGTGGAGTGCCAGGAGCAGCACCGCCCCCCGAGGCCCAGCCCTCGGCAGAAGGCCCTGGGCCACACCGACAGCCCGAGAGTAACACGGCCCCACGCTCACCCGGGAACAAGAATGGCTCTCCCTTAGCTTGTTGGGGCAGCACTCCCCAGACTTTTCACACACGGGTACAAAGGAAAATGCTTGACTGGCATGGTGGAGTTCTAGTCGACCCAACCTCCCCAGCAGCTAGGAAGCTGTGTCCTGCTGTCCTCCCTGATGAGGACACCATGGGTGTGCTCAGCCGCCACCAGGCTCTGTGGACCCTACTTGGCCCCGATGCTTTGCCTCGTTTGGTTCTCCAAGGAGACCACAAGCAGCGTTCCTTCCACCATATTTCCCGTATGGCTGAATTCTGGGCCCAAAGTGAACTGGCGGCCAGCCTGGCTCTTCAGGCATCCGTTCCAAGACCTCCCACAGGTGACACAATGTCCAGCATCGGTCACTACCAGGCTGGCAGGTGAGCACTGGTGAGCCAGGCTTTGCTAGTTTTTTGGCCACGCTCTCTCCAGGGTTTCTGCAGGAGGTGCTCTTTCTAGGCTTTTCAGCACACAAAATCCGTTTCCAGGGGACATTAAAAGGAGACGCTCAGAGCAGCAGAACAAAGCAAATGTACAACCCCCACCTCCTCTAGCCTTTCACTGGCCAGCAGGCCCCCCTCAGACCCAGCTGGTGACATCTGCGCAGCTGACTACTGCCTGCTAACACAGTCTGCACCCTGCTCGACTTGCCCGACAATGATCAGCTAATTAATAAACTATCACCCTAATGTCTGATTGATGACTGGTCTTCAACAGGGACTATTGTCAAAATTAAAAACAAACTGCTGAGCCTGGCAAAGGGCCCGAGGGTGGATGTGAGCCAGCCGTGATGGAAAGGACAGGGACAGCAAGGCAAAGCCTCACCAAAGCCCGGCCCCACTGCGGCACCAGCGGGAGCTGCCCAGCTAGATGCGGCCTCCGTCTGAAGTCACACGGAGGGGTACCCGGCATCGTACTTTATGAAAGGCAGAGAAACCCAAGGAGAGCAGATGGCCTCGATGAGCTGTGAGCTGTGGCCAGGGCAAGGCCCCCAGGACAGAGCGGGGCGGTCACCTCTTACTGCGTTTTCAGATTATCAAAGGTGCGTGTTCACCAGAGTTAAACACTGAACAAACATGTGACTTAGGAGGTTTCGGTCCTTTATCCAAGCTCCCAGTTTAGTGAATGTTCTCATTTTTTCTTCCATGAATATATTTTTTACAAAAATGGGAAGACACCCCATGTGTTTTTCTTTTTATTTTGAAGATTTTATTTATTTGACAGAGAGAGAGACAGCGAGAGAGGGAACACAAGCAGGGGGAGTGGGAGAGGGAGAAACAGGCTTCCCGCCGAGCAGGGAGCCTGATTCGGGGCTCTATCCCAGGACCCTGGGATCATGACCTGAGCTTAACGACTGAGCCACCCAGGCGCCCCACCCCATGTGTTTTTCTAAAACTCGCTTTTTTCCCTCTTAATAGATCCTGGAGATCTTTCTGTTGGTCTGCATAAAAACGACCTCATTCTTTTTCATAGTCGTACAATACTCCACTGTGTGCCCATCCCATTATTTCACGCAAGTACTCCCCTCTGCACGGATACCTAGCATTCGTCACACACGCTGGAGGCCGCTAAGGAGACACGCACGCCCAGCCTCACGTAACAGGCAGCGATTCTTACCTTCCTGACAGTCATTATGACAAAATACAACCGGAGAGGGGGTGGATTCAAGCAGCGACCTGCAAAGGGAATCACACCGCAGGTCAGATGCCTCGGCGTGCCCGGGACGGGACTGGTGCTTGGCACTGCCATGCAGCCTCCCTGCAGCGCTGGCCCCGGGAGCTCCGGGGGCGCAACCCGGAGCTCCACGCCAGCCCCGCGCGCAGCCCCTCTTCCCCGGGCGGGCCCTCCCGGCCCAGAGCACGACCCTCCTCCTCAGTCTGCTCTGGCCCTGGTTTCCGTCACACCTCTGATCACCACCCGGCATCATGGGACGCGTTTGCTTGTCTCCATCTCTCCTAATAAGACACAAGCGCCTCGAAGGCCGTCCTGGCCCCCATGTCCTCGGCGCTGCTCACACCCGTGGAGTGACGAGAACTGTGCCTTCTCGCGCTCGGGGTGAGTGCGCCCCCGGGGACCGCGCGGTGCCCCTACTTGCAGGCCAGAGCTCGGGCTGAACGATTTCCCCCACCTGCCCCCGTCGCTTCTGTTTCGTGTTTTGTTTCAGAAAAACCCGACTGCGCTCGCGACGGCTCCTCACCTCAGGTACTCCAGCTCCAGGGGCAGGTTGTAGTGGAGGAGACGGTGAAGCTGCTTCACCCGCGGCTCCCCGGCAAACTTAATCCTCAGCACCTGGTTCAGGTATCTGGCAGAAAAAGGGAGAACAAAATTCACTGCTCGGTTCACTGCGGCTCCCGGGCAGGGCTCCTGTCAAGTATAATCACGAGAGGGCCCGGGACACAGCCCGGGGCTCCAGGCTCTTGAGAAAGCTCGTCCCCTGCCCGCCCACCCGCTCGGCAGAGCAGAGGAAGACCTCCGGCCACCACGGCAAACGAGTACTCACTCTGCGCCTCTGGTAGCCGCTAACAGAAAATGGAGTTAGAGCCAAGCGGTTTGACCACTTACTTTTCCATTGTTCCAAAAAGCCATTTTGGTTCCTTATTGAATGGCATTTTCATACCATGAAATGTGGCCATTTTCTCAGCTATTTCTGCAGAAATATCTGGCAAACTTAATTCTTCAGTGTCTAAGCGCCGGCTCTGCAATGAACAAGGGGGTCAGAAAACAGCATTTCTCCGGGGAGCCTGGAGGGTCAGGGGTGCGATCACACCAGGCTAAGACCCAGCAGCCAGTCTGCCTCAGCTGGCGCACGAAACTCCCTGTGGAACACGCCCCGCGGACAGTGACCCGGCGACTGCGGGGGCACTTCTCAGCAAGCGGGGGGGCCTCCGCCACAGGCCAATTTTATTTCGAACTCTTTTAACCATGAGAAGGTCCTCCCCACATACAAGCATTTAGGCGGACTCCCCCTCTCTTCTCTGCACCCTCACCAGAGGACGCCCTCCTCCCCGCTAAAAGCTCCGAGTCTCAGGGTCGTAGCACAAGGCAATGTCCAACTCCTTCAGCGGCTCGGACACTCCGGCCTGACCCATCGCAGCCAAGAGATGGTGCTCAGCACAGGTCCTCCTGAGAAGCAGGGCCAGGAGTTCAGGATGAGCCACACTCCCCCTCATCCACGGTGGCGCCTGCGGCACCCCGCCTAGCACAGAGCAGGCTCTCAGAGCGCACAGCTGAACGAAGAACCAGAGGGGCCCAGCCCCCACCGCTGCGCTTGCCCAGCTCCTCCTCCCGAGGAAATCACAATCAACTAAGACCAGTCTGTCTTTTCCACATGCCCTGCTCCCCTACAGAAGCCCAAAGAGGCATGCCTCTGAAAATCCTGAGTGCCACAGCCATGGTATTCCTCCAAGTTAGAGAAAAACAGCTCAAATTCTGGCTTTAATCCTCATTTCAAAGTCACATGGCCAAAGGCATGCTACTCAGACCTCTGTGTCTGACTTTCCGATTTCTATAAAATGAGAAGCATGACATGGAGTCCCTGCGGGGCTGCTCTGACCTACAGCATTCAAGGCAGGCAAGGGCCCTGGGCTGGCACCCAGCCAGGAGGTCTCGACAAATGGCGGGAGCCTGATGATGAGAGCTCAGAGCTTTCTGGAAGCAGCAGGCTCAACCGCGTCCTCCTCCACCTGGGAATCCTCCAAGTTATCAAGCGATCGGGCCAAGGTTAAGGACAAGGGACTCAGCTCCTAGTGGCAGCTCACTCAGCTTTCACATGGCTTTGTTAAAAAAATGCCATAAGTTACTTTGTTTGGCATTGTGGAAAGTCAGGCTAACCATGCTCAAAGATGAACATATTTCGGAGTTCTAAGCTCCTTTCCCAGCACACGGAAACGGCAACAGGAGACTGACCCAGGGTCCGTAGCGTCACTACTCTCCTGTGCCCTCTGAAAAAATGGCTGTAGGAACCAGACGAGGTGGAATGCATCCCACTCCATGCAGCGCTCAGGGGTAAACCTGGAAATAACACGCGCTAGCAGGCTGAGCCAAATGAAATCACCATTTCTGGGGTCAAAAACAGTTGATGACTGGTAGTTTCGTGTGGTTCAACCTACTACTTTAACAGAACTTTAAAAAGTCTTCACTATATAAAACATACATAAAAGAGGACAGAATTTCAGAAGTAGAACAGTATCAATCCCACAGATGCTACAACCCATGGATCCTGGTCCAGGGCAGGACAGTTCCATTATTCTGGGTTGTGCTCGCTGGTCCTTTACCTTCCCTAAAAAGAGAAGTTTTACCACACATGTATATTTTAAACAGTTTTGTTTGCTTTCAGTGGGCTTTATTAAAATGGTATACTATTTGTAGTCTTCCACAATCTGGTTTTATCACTCAATAGTATGTTCTTAAGATGTCACCACTTTTAACCACAGGAAGTGTTTCAGATTTTCCATGCTTTCAGATACTTTATTATCTCATCTGATTCTCATACCAGTCGGATGTTATGGGACAGTTATAAATGAAAACCCTGCCAAGTGGCCAGCGAGGTGCTGGGGCCAAGACGGAAGGTCTGCAGCGAGGGTTCAGCTGCTGGTTTCGGCACAGCCCCAGGCTGGCAGCTGCACACACGGGGCCACTGCATCAACCAGCAGAGGGCACCCCTCCTGGGACACAGGTCACAAGAAGGCTCCTACCCCTGGGCGGTGGGGATTAGACAATTAGGACCCCTTCCTCCAGCCTCCCGCTGAAAACAGGTTGAGTCCTGGCAAGCAGAGCATCCCTTCAGCCAGGGGCCCTGTGCTTAACCACCGCACAACTGTACAGGGCAAGCCTGCCCACCCAGGTGGCCACGTGAGGCAGGGCAATGAGACCATTTGTGACACTGGTCCTCGAGCAGCTCACACCAGTGAAGATGTTACAGCAGCATTAGAAATGCCTCAGGACAGCAAGAAAAGGCAAACAGTCCCAGCTCTTGGAAACAGGACTTGAGCTGGGCCTTGCAACGTCAGCTGACAGGCACATGGGAGCTGGGGAAACTCAAACAGAGGGAGTGAGCTGGGAGACAAGGCAAAGAGTAGTGGTGGCCCCACAGGGCAAAGATCCAGGTATGGCTTGGTGTGGCCAGGACCACAGGGCTCTACACTGAGTTCTAAAGGCGGTCCAGAAATTGAGAGGAACAAGGGGAAAGGAGAAAGGTTCAGAGCAAGCAGCTTTAGAGGACAATGGAATGTTAGGTTTCGTATACAGTTTTCATTTGGATGAACATCTTTGTAGGAAAGACAGAGTTTCCAATGTAAATTCAATAGAAATCTGTTTTTTCTTTATTTCTGATACAGTTTCATAATGTTAAGTCCCATTTAATGTGTCAGCCCATGACCTCTCAGGCTCCTGCAGCACCAAGACAAAGAATCCGTCTTCTGTCTGTGGCACCTGTCAACTGACCAGTCGAGAACACATCTTACCGGGATGAACTGCTCCAGGCGGCCTTGGGGAAAGATGCCGTAGAGCTTTGGCCCAAGCGCCCTCTCTGCAAGAATGGCAAACATAACGCTCTCCAGGACCATGGCCTCGGCCCCCTAAAACAGACAGCAACACACCGGATGTTTACTGAGGGCTGACCACGTGCAGGCCCCACAAGTGCTTCCACGGGAGCAGTGCTGTCTAACCCCCAGCCACCCTACCATCGGGCGCTACCAGTACCACCCCCACTTTAAATACGAAGAAACAGAGGTCAACGTCTTGTAATCTGCAGGATCTGCGCTTGCAACCATCACACTACACTGATGAGATTGAAAATTCAAGTGTAACCGAGTCACTGATTCCAAAAATAGAACAGTGTCTATTGGTATTTTCTTGCTTGCATTTATTTTAAAACTTCTCTAAGTTCCACCCATGACATCTTCCCAAAGGCCACCACAATGCTGTCCATTCTGGTCAGCACAGAGCAGGAGTGCACCGGCCACAGGGGCCTTCTGCCCCCAAACCGATCCTTAAGGGCAACTGACAGATCTGGGCCTGTTTCTGGGGTCCAAAGAGCACCCTGGCATGAAGCATTCACGGGATCAATGCTCTGCTCTTCCCAATCTTCTCCCTGCTGCCGTTTTAATGTTTGTCTCTTGCCAAAATCCAATGACGCTCATATGCTATCTTCAGTCCTAATAACCCATGTGGGATCTAGAATCATCCTGCCTTCAAAAACTATCTTTTAGCAGTGCCTGGGTGGCTCAGTCAGTTAAGCGTCAGGTCATGATCTCAGGGTCCTGGGATTGAGCCCCACATCGGGCTCCCTGCTTAGTGGCGAGTCTGCTTCTCCCTCTCCCTCTGCCTTCTCTCTCTCTGAAATAAAATCTTAAAAAAAAACAAAACAAAACTATCTTTTGGTCTCAGTTCAAATTCACTCCTTAGTCCTTTGCCATTAAACAGCAAATTAGCCTCGAGGCCACTGTGTCTGAGGAGGGGCCGGCAAGTGTAGCTAGAAAATGCTTTCAGGTGATCCTTATTCACCCCTTGTTAAGAAATGCGCCCCGGGGACTATGATCCCACAGAAACACTGCCCAAAGTGAAACAGCTCTTTAAACTCAGGTTATAAAAACACACGCAGGGCGCCTAGGTGGCTCAGTCATTAGGCGTCTGCCTTCAGCTCGGGTTGTGATCTCAGGCTCCTGGGATAAAGCCCCGAATGGGGCTCCCCTGCTCAGCGGGGAGTCTGTTTCTCCCTCTCCCTCTGCTGCTCCCCCTGCTTGTGCTCCCCCCACTCTTTCTCTCAAATAAATAAAATCTAAAAACCAAACAAAAAAAAAAAAACACACACGCAACAGGACCTACTCAGGCAATGAATGACAGGATGGTAAAGTTACAGAGAAGAAAACAGAGAAGTTCCTTTTCCAAAGGACATGGAACCACATCAGAGGAAAAAGTAATTTGGTCACTCTCACATTTGGGGGAGCAAACAGATTTGAGAGCCGGTGACCTCCCACAATTATAGTTTAGCCACTGTCTTTTGTCACCTACAACTGTGGTCCTGACCACTTTGTAAGGTCTAATCTTATTTACTCATTTGCAGTTTTTTTTTTTTTAAGATTTTATTTATTTATTTGACAGAGACACAGCGAGAGAGGGAACACAAGCAGGGGGAGTGGGAGAGGGAGAAGCCGGCTTCCTGCTGAGCGGGGAGCCCAATGCAGGGCTCTATCCCAGGACCCTGGGATCATGACCTGAGCCGAAGGCAGACGCTTAACAACTGAGGCGCCCCTCATTTGCAGGTTTTTTTTTTTTTAAGATTTTATTTATTTATTTGACAGTGAGAGAGGGAACACAAGCAGGGGCAGAGGAAGAGGGAGAAGCAGGCTTCCCACTGAGCAGGGAGCCTGATGCGGGGCTCGATTCCAGGACCCTGAGATCATGACCTGAGCCGAAGGCAGATGCTTAACAACTGAGCCACCCAGGCACCCCTCATTTGCAGTTTTGTATCTAGGACTGTTACGAGCTAAACTATGTCCTCCCCAAATTCACGCATTGAAGCCCTAACCCCCAGTGCGATGGTGTCTGGACATGGGCCTTTAGGAGGCGGTTATGTATAGATGAGGTCACGCGTGCAGGGTGTCCATGTGATCAGCGTCCTTATATGAAGGGTCCCAGAGAGGCTGCTGTCCCCCCCTCCGTCCCTCCACCACGTGAGGACACAGGGAGAAGGCAGCACCTGCAGGCCAGGGACCCAACCGTGCCAGCACGCAGACCTCAGACCTCCAGCCTCCAGAAATAAATGTCTGGGCAGCCCCGAGGAGTCTGTTACAGCAGCCTGAGCAGACTAAGACACGGACAGTACAAACCTAGCACTGATCTGTCAGGTCCACAGAGCTGAGAGCAGGGTTTGAGAGGAGAACCCCCTGGAAGAGGTAAGTCACTACTGGCCCCACGTCCAGCACCCAAGATGCCCGAAGAAGAGTGTGCACAGGTCTGCAAGGCATCTCTCAAACTCTCCGCCTGGAACCCGCACGAAGCGAAATGCCGTGGCGAAGGCAGGCTGGGCACGGTGGGACCCCAGGGCTCCAGGGTGTGACAGCAGGCGGGTTGTGCAGCCCTTAGCCAGCTGTACACCCCCCGCCACCCACCCAGAATTTCAGAGTTCCGTCAGGATTTCTTCCGTCTAGGTATCCAGGTTTCATCAGAATTAAAATTTGTTTTTTGGTTTCCCTCCATGTCAAGTGACTAAGCCCAAGGACATCAGGATGAGCTCCATATAAAACGCCTATCTGTGCCCGGTCCTAAATAGGCCTTTGAGTTTGAAGCTGCAAACTTTATACAGAGGTGAAGCCCCACCGTGTTCCTTCAGGAGGGCTTAGCCTGCTGTGCATCACGTGTACTCGGTACAAAGGCCATGCACCGTTGCTGGGCTGGACACACTGCCCAGAGTCCTCCAGAGCCAAGTCAACCTGTCCCCGGGATGGTGGAGAGAAGGTGGACGGAGACTTAAGAGCTTTGCAATTCTCTCTGGCATTTCTCTGAACACTGTAAACAAGAAATCTCTTTGTTCATGTGTAATATTGCAGTTCAGCATTTATTCCCAGTAGGGAGAAAGGGGAGCTGCGTGTGGAGGAAAGAATTTGGAGGAAGGAAAGAAGGAAAACACTTAAGACAGGTTAAGAAGAAAAATGGAGAGGTTAAGAGGGATAGTACGTAATCTTAGAAGGAGTGCATCAACTACTGGAAGCCTTTTTGTAACTACCAGGTCTCCAAACACCTTCCTGCTTGCTACTTAAGGAAGCCAGCACAGCAGAGAACAGGACGGGACCCACGTGACCCAGTCTTCTGCCCCCGCACGCCCAGGCGCAGCCACCGGCCACCCAACCACAGCTGGTCGCACTTTCTCGGGACAGAAGATCCTACCTCCACTTGAAACGATCTACTTTGGATTCAGGAACATTCATATATATTTAGCCCAAAAATATTTACTGGAGGTCCCCTCTGTGCCTGGCACTGTGTTAAGCCCCGGGCAAACAAGAACAAGACACACCCAGGGACCCCCTTCCAGAGCGAGCGGCAGACAAGGATGTGCAAGGCCAGCGTAGCCTGCCGTAACTGCAGGGACAGGGCGGGGCAGGGTGGGTCGGGGTGGCTGCTTCTAAGGAGATGGTGACACGGACACCTGAGGGGTGAGAAGCAAGCACATTCAGGGACCCGGGAGCCCCCCTCCCCCAGTGGAGCAGAGCAATCAGGGAAGGAGACAAAAGGAGCCCGGAGAAGCCGGGAGCTCCGGCCAGCCCTGAAGTCCTCAGCACACGCACAGCGTCTGAGGCCGCCGCGCGGCCGCCGAGGAGGGACCCGCACAGAGCCTGAGCGCTCCCAGCGACCGTCCCCGCAGGAAGGAGCCCGTTTTACCCAGCAAGCTGCCCAACACACCCAACCCCTAAAACAAACTTCCATGCTCACCACTGTGCAAGACTTTCTAGTATTTTCTAGCCTATTTCATTTTAAAAAAGCAGCAAAAACGCTGACATTTCACGTGCCCTTCGAGGTTTTACAACCCACCACGTGAAGCCCTGATTCAGAGGGGGGCAGGGGGGCGGCCGTGAGGGTGAAGGTGTGCCGGCTGCCGGGGGAAACATGGGAGAACGGCAAGGGGGCCGCTGGGTCCAACAGTGGGGAAGTCCTCGGTGTGACCAGATGGGGCAGGGGACAGGCAGGCGGGGGGGGACAGCGAATGGAAGAGGGAGGGGGACTGCTGGGGAGGCAGAGGTGTGCGGACTGACAATTCACTTTACCTACACAGTTGTATTTCTTTATAAAAATTAAAATCCTGTAATAAGAATATCGAGATTATGAACTTTTGGAGAAGACAGAATAACACTTCTGTGATATTCTTGCCAAAAATATATAACCTCATTCCAGTCACAAGAAAAGGTGAGACGAACCTACACTGAGGGAACATTCTCTGAAATAACTGATCCATGTGCTTAACAAGCCTCGGGACTGGAAGTAACACGGAGGCAGATGGAGCAGACGAGGGAGGACAAGCAGCATACGCCGCGTGGGGCCCCAGCTACACCCTGGAGCAGGACAAGAGAGCGTCCGTGGAAAAACCTGGGAAAGTCAAATAAGGCCTATAGCTTAGCTGCTATTATCAGGCTGGCGTCGGTCAGGGCTGTGCAAGGTGTTAGTGACGGGGAACTGGGAAAGGGGTGTAGGGGAGTTCCCCGTCCTAGTTCGGCTAACTTCCTGCATGTCTACACTTCTTCCGAAATAAAAAGTTAAAAAATAAATGTATACAAGGAAGACTGAAATCAAGCAATATAACAAAATCAATGACTGATTCTGTGCAGTGGGGGAAGGGTGTTTATTATGTTATTCTGTGCTGTCCCAAACACTCAACACTTTTTTCCAAGAAAAAAAGAAATCCTGCTACAGAGAGGGAGCAGATACGGGCAAGGCCGGCAAGCTCTGTCCCCTGTGAGGGACAGCAGCAACACGCCCGTGGACAGGGGGAGAGGAGAGCTGGAGTCGGGAGCACAAGGGAAGGACCGGCCTGTGGAAAGGCTCCTGGGCTGGAAGTGGGAAGATGAGGGCCAAGGTCATAGCAGCCGGGCAGGGAGGGGCCCGGTCAGAAAGGCGAGCCTCCCGGACAGGCCGGTGGTCCTCCCGACCGTGGGGTTTCCCTCTAACGATGCCCAGCTGCTCGGGTGCGGGCCCAGACAGGGCAAGGTGACCAGGTCCAAAGACCAAGCCGGACACGGACACCTTCACCGAACCAGGGTAGCTCTCAGGAGGGTTTTCAACAGAGGAGAAATGGTTTGGAAGCAGGAACGAGGAAAAACCAAGAAGACATCCCTTCCCCGCCCCGCCCCCCCGGCAAGTACCAGGATGTGATGGGAAAACATCCTCCCTCAGGGAGCTGCAGGGGAGCGGTCTCTGAGACAGTGAGGCTGTACAGAGGCCAGTTAGCACAGGAAACATTCAGAAGACAGGGGACAAAGACTGCAGACAAAGGCCAGCCATCCAAAGGGCTCAAAGAACATCGTGGACTGAGGAGAGGAAGGGACAAGGAGTGTGTGCACCAGCAGGCAAGGGGCAGACTGTTCCAGAGCTGCGCACGAGTTCCGGCTGCAGCCAGCATTCGACAATTCTATCAGCACCCCACTGGATAGCGGGCTTGACAGCCACGGCGAGACAGCAAGAGGTGGTGACGTCCTGCCCTGAGCACAGACCCTCTCAGGAACAGGAGGCAGACACGAATCGCATCATGCTGAAAACTTATAGCCAGAGGAAGTACAGAGGAGAGACAGATGGTGCTCGGGGTGAGGGCATGAAACAGAGACACACACCTAGTCTAGAGGGCAGGAGGGCTCCGTGGGGAAGCAACCCTTGAGTGAGGTACTAATTACAAGCAGAAGCGGGGATGGGAAAGTTGGGAGCATCCCAACTGGAAGGAACAGCATCTGCGAAGAAAACCACACAGTTTAGGACAACGTGGCTGGAGAGCTAGAATGGGGAAGGACACCAAAGAGAGTGGAAAGCTCAGCAGGGTCAGACCAGGGGAAGCTGGCCTGGGGCACAGGGAGCGCTGACGGATGTCAGGCCACAGGCTGACCTGATCAGAGGAGCAATTGGTGCAGGAGTGGAGGAGACGGGGGTAGCCTGGACTAGGGAGGTGGGTGGTACTGAAGGAGGCGAGCATACAGACCCAGGGTAGAGTTCACAGGGAAACAATGGACTCATGGTTCAGATATGGGGTGACGGAGAGGAGGGTGTTGGAGGGCCTCCTGGCTTTCCATCTGCAGAGAAAGGAGACACTGAGGTTCCTCGGAGGGGGTGGGGCAGAGACCATGTGTTCAGCCTTGGACCTGGCGAGACGGCCCAGGGGAGGTGGGGGGGCGGATGGCACTGAGGGGCAGCATGGGCAGAGGGCCTCGGGCAAGTTGTGGAGCACTTCAGACAACAGGTCAGGCCCAGAAAGGAGCCGAGGAGGGGAAGAGAACATTCCAGAAAGGGCAGGGAGAAGTCAAGTTAACTAGAACTGAGAACGCTCTGTGGGTCTGGCATCGTGGAGGCCCCCGTGGCCCAGCCTTGTCGACCACCAGGACACACACAGGCCTATACACCAAGGACCCAGGCTGGCGGAAAGCATGTCCATCGCTTCCCACCCGGTGGCGTCCGTCAGTGTCACCCAGAGCACACGTTCTAGATCCACCAGACCGGGGTCTCCAGAGCAGGGTGTACCCGGAACAATCCACCAACATGTGAGGGGGAAACATTAGTACTTTTATTCCTTTACGATCTCACCTCTTTTTAATTCCTATTTCTTGGCGATTTCAACAGTCTACAGCGAGTAAAACCAGTGTACCTATGTCTGTGTTGCGGGGTGGGGTGCATACCCTGGGCCAGTGTGCTCGAAGGTGGTTTAGCCCTGGCATGTGGACATCACTGCGCTAGACTCCCACTCTGAGCCTCAAAGAGGGACCAGGTCGACACATCAGTGCTCTTGACCTCAAGCTCTTCTAAGCATAAGCATTTCAGAGAGGGGCCCTTCTGACCAGGGGACCGCAGGTGGGAAAAGGCACTCCTGCTCACCCGGGCAGTGCTGGCTTCGGTGTCACGCAGACAGAGGGAGGGGGTCAGAGGCACAGCACCTGAGCCAGGTTGCCTCCACGTCCTGTCACGCACAAGCGCTCCCTAAACTGCCTTCTCTCGGCACCCCAAATGCTGTTTAGATTGCCATAAGGACACCACACGTCCGCTGCCTACGTTCAGCAGGAACTAAAAATAGCTGGGCACGCTCGTTCTTAGGGAGGAGGCTCCCCATGGGGAAAGAGCCCATCCTCTGAGAATCGGTCTGGCCCCTCTGGGGGCGGCGAGTGAATTGGCACCACGAACACCGCTACAACCTCAGACAGATGCAGAACGGACTTAATTACTTACTTGAAATTCATTTTCTTTCTGAGCTTGTTCGGATCCCTCTTTATTACAGGACCTCTACGAATGAGAAAAAGCAAACACTTCTGGTAAGATGGGGAACACCAAACACACACTAACTTTGCAACCACCACAACAGTCAAGGTTTACAAAACATCACAGATCTTTAATGAGTGCTCCTCAACCCACGGAAGTCACCAGCGGCAGAGTAAAATGCACCACCAGTGTCCAGCACTAGGACCAACACCCGAGGAATCGCTTCATTTCTTTACAAGAAAAGGAATGTGCTGTTGACCCCAAACAGCCAGGTACCTTTTCACAATTTCATTGTCAGAGGAAAGTCAATAGGGGGCGCTCTTCCAATCAGGCCTTCCCAAGACAAAGGGTCAAGTGGTCTCCCCAATTTAGCTAGGTGGTTCCTTCAAGTCAACACTATCCTGAGGAAGCTTCCTTCCTGCAAGAACCGGGAGTGTACACACACCCGTGGCAAGTCGCCATGGTCAGCACAGAACGGGGACAGAGAAGAAAGCCCTGTGCAGGCAGGAGCCTTGGCACAGAACCCGTGCGACGAGCCTGCCAACTTGCCACTTTCACAGACTAGCCCTGCTTGCTCAGCCTGTCACTGGCTCAATCTGAATTCTTCCTCCACCAAAAGGAGGGTCATGTGAATTTAATAAAGTCCTTACACTTACTTCATATGTTAATATATTATAGCACTTTCCTCAATGAAACTGCAAATTGTTGGAAACCAGGGATCTAGCAGTAACAACTAGATCCTTAACTACCATAAGCAACTCTCTGGCTACATTCTTTCTTCATGTCACAGATCGTATCTTTTAAAAGCCACCCCCCCCAAGTGCTTTAAAAATCTTCATACTATCTTTAATAAGGGGATGGAGAAAAGCAAGTCAGAAACTTTTAAGCATCATGTCAAAATTTTACACTCAAATATTGCCTCTAGAAATGTTGTTATAATTAAACTAGGCTGGCTTAAGCCAGACACAGAAGGAAGCCCATAAAGGGAACTTTTAAGAAATGTTAGGGTAAAAGATTCTTGAACATCCCATGAAAAACATACCTTTCCATTCCACTGCTTTATCAAAAATACCTGTACCAAGGGTGGAAAGTGTGGACAGGGAAAAAAAATATGCCACGTTAAGCAACACCAGCTACGCTAGCGCCATTCCAAGACCCCAGCGCGTTGGGGCGGCGCACCCGTCCCTCCCGCACGGACACACCCCGCAGGCGCTCTCCGGCGCGCTCCGCACAACAGGGCCTGTGCTAGCTTCCTCAGCATAAAGGCAAACAAACATCCATGTTCATGAAGCTATCTGCAAAAGACTTGCACTTACACATATTCAGTAACATCTTTAACATCCCGTGAAGTTCGTTTGGTACAAGGTACAGAAAGTACAAATGGGGGGATACATACTTTCACTTGGGTAACCTGCATTTCTCTGATGGAAAGATGTTACAGGTTAAATCCCGTTACAATGAAAGCTACAAAAATGAAAACACCCCAGAAATACTTGTAGACTTTTGCTGACGGCTTGGGTGTGTGATGTGGTAACCTCTTGGGAGGAGCAACTGGGTACCACAAACGCTTCGCTCCTTCCCTAACTCCGAACCACCCCTCTGGCTGCGCTGCGACCTCAGACTGTCTTCCCTTGTCCCCTCTCTCCCCAGTGGCCTACCAGCTCCTCACGAATTGGCCCTCCATCTTTCATTTATGGTTAGTCTTCGCCCAAAGCACCAAGCAATCCCGCTGCCCACTACACTGTCAGCACGACTAAAGGCCCAGCCACGCCGTGAAGCTCAAGGCACAGCCTCCGCCACAGAGCCAGCCAGCTTCGGGCAAACTTGCATCCACGGTCCGAGTCATGGGCAACCTGGCTATGGTATTCATTTGGATGCTGAATGGGGCCAAAATGCCCCCAAAATGTTAAATCCTGCACTTGTTCTCCCTCAGGAAAGGAAAGAACAAAAAAAGTTCTATAATATGATATATGGAATTTGGATATCCTATTGAAGTTTGTTGTAACGGGATTTGACCTGTACAGAATTCTAAATGACTATGGTTATTCCTATGCTGTTGTTATTCGAACTGTATCTTCTTAGGGAGATACAGTAAATGGGTTATTCAGCCAACAGAAGTCCCTTTCCTTTGTCCAATGGTGCTCTCGGAAAGCAAGTCACTTCATCCAAAGTTACAAACTGCCTTGGTTTCCAAGGCCATTCCTTTGTAATACTCACACCAGTGGAAATAAATTCTGTTAAGAATTTCCCAATCCCTGCCCACTCCATCCCACCCCCAAATGAATGCATTACTTATACCATAAGAGCACCATGATGAAGGCAAGATGGACTTCTGCCATATTCAACCCTCTGTTCTGTTTCCTCAGTACAGAATGTTCAGGTTCCCTCAATCCTGTAAACAAGAAGAGTAAGACCAAGAAATCTCAAACCAATTAGACATTCACGAAAAGTGAGAGAAGAGGCCTCATCCTGACAAGCCAACGAGAGACAGACTCACATTGCCAAAAAGGAGGTCAGAGAACTCTTTTGTGCAGAAAGATGGGGAGTAAAATGTATCTTGGAATTTGTGAGATTTTACTTCAGAGGCACAAGTTTATTTGAAGCAGATATTAATATATATTGTATAAACATTCAACAGGACTCCAAATTTTTTGCAACTTTTCATGTTAATAAAGACAAGCTGTCATATATAAAATAGAACTAAATTTTTTTTACATTAGGAATTTGAATACTGGTTAATATCTTGTAATTACTAAAACCTTTTGAAGTAAACATTAACATGGTCTTTTTTTTTTTTAAATCATCTTATATAGATACAGATGGAAACGCTTACGTGATGTCTGGAATATGCTTCAGAATAACTCCAGAGAATGAACAAGGGCGAGGCTGAGAGACTGGTCAGAGGGAAAGATGGATATTGGGGTACCTGGGGCTCATTACACTCTTCTGCTCCACTGTTGTATGTAAATTCCCCATAATAAAAGTCTTTTTTAAGAATAAACACAGACGGGGCGCCTGGGTGGCTCAGTCAGTTGAGCGTCTTGACTTGAAGCTCAGGTCATGATCCCGGGGTCCTGGGATCGAGCCCCGCGTCGGGCTCCCTGCTCAGGGGGAAGCCTGCTTCTCCCTCTGCTTCTGCCACTTCCCCTGCTTGTGTTCTCTCTCTCACTTACCCTCTCTCAAATAAATAAATAAAATCTTAAAAAATAAAAATAAAAAATAAAGACTATGGGAAAAAAGTACCCTTCATATTCTAGGTTATTAGTTTTTAAAATGTTTTATTTCGTGCTCTGAAAAAAAAATGAAAATCAATAAATAATAAGACAACTTTAGGGGCTAAAATGAGAAAATATCACTTGACTGAATTTTGTCTTATATAATTTTAGGATTCAAAAATGTTCTATTTAAAGTTACCCAATATTCGGGGTGCCTGGGTGGCTCAGTCGTTAAGCGACTGCCTTCGGCTCAGGTCATGATCCCAGGGTCCTGGGATCGAGCCCCGCATTGGGCTCCCTGCTCAGCAGGAAGCCTGATTCTCCCTCTCCCACTCCCCTTGCTTGTGTTCCCTCTCTCGCTGTCAAATAAATAAATAAAATCTTTAAAAAAAAATAAAGTTACCCAATATTCCAAAACATAACAGATTTATTTCTTCTAATTTGTCTAAGCTATTGGGCAGAATAAACTCTTATCATCTGGCCCGTTCTCAATGACAGATTTCTCTAATGACGAGGGAGCTAGTTTTACAACTGAACTACTTTAATAAAGCCACATTTGTGCGCTGAAACAAAGCACACCTCGCTTTCCCTGCAGTCTGTGTATGTGTGGCTGTGCATATAAATAAATCAGTGAAAGTGGCATGAAGTGGCATCCAGCTATTTAATGTCATTTGTAACACTGAAACATTTTCCTAAAAGTATCTTTAAAAGCCCACCACTGCATGAGCTAGCTGCTGGTGGGACAGGCTGGGAAAAGTGTCGAATCAGCTACAAACAATGACATGTCATCAACAGTATAATACATTGGAAATGCTGTTTAAGAAATCAAACCATTGTCAATTACAGATACTGTTATAAGGAGGAAGTTGTCACTATGCTAAATGTAATGGTGGCCACAGAAATAAAAAGATACAAAAAAGAGTGATAGAAACATGGAAGACAGCTCTTCCCATTAGCCCTTCCTTCTCCACCAAAAACAGAAGCACAAAAAACTACACAGAGCACTCAGCTGGCTTATTTATCTATTTTAAGTAGACTGCATGCCCAACTCGGGGCTTTAACTCACGGCTCTGAGATCAAAAGTTGTGAGCTCTACTGACTGACCCAGCCAGGTGGCCCTCACCTGTCTCTTTTAAAGTTTCTGCACAAAAGAGCAAGTTGGTTGTGGCCTTTTAAAAACACTCTGGGACCCATAAATGAGATATTAAGAAAGAACAATCCAAATGTTAGCCAGACTCAACTTCTAGGACATCTAACAATCTGGTCTAAGAAAATCTGGGATTATCCTCGTGAGCTGAGTCCCAGACTGTCAGTTTATTTACCCCCAAAATAGGAGATGTTGCACTATTTGGAATGTTCAGTCACTGTGATGGTTGTCTGGTCCTGGAGTAGCATGGGCTCTTTACTGTGCGGCCTATGGCTCTGAGGATCCACCCTAAGATCTGACCACACTTGACTCTCTAGGGGTCGACACGGGGGCAGCACCTACTGCCCTGTTCCTGGTAGGGCTCTGTGCCATGCCTCAGGTGAGCTGGGACAGGGACAGGATGGACAGTGTGGGAATGCTGGCTCCAGAGAGTACACAGTAGTCACGTGGCTCCTTCCATACTCTTCTGCAGTATGTTTTCTTCTCAATGTTACCATGGACCCTAACCTTCCTTCTCCCTGATTTCTATGAAAACATTCTGTATTTATTGCTTTTTTCGGTCTCTTACAGCATTTTCTGAAAAAATATTTTACAGAACACGTTAAAATGTAAGATCACAATGTAATGATTTAAAGTATAGCTAGGGGCACTGAGCTGGCTCA